TTTAGAGATGTTACTTTTAAGACTTGAGGAGCAAGGCATCTTTAGGAAAGAATGAGCAGAGCAAAGAGTGTCAAAGGAAAAATCTACTCATAAGAAGCCCACTAGTTTAACCAAAAGAACTCTAAACTTCATGTGGCAAGCCCAAACAGCCATATTCCAGCAACTTATTCTGTCTATATGATACATGCGAGAAGGAAAAATCCAATTGTCAAACCTAATTCTGTCTATGTAATACCAACAAAAAAAATAATAAGGGAAAATCCCACCAAAGGGATAATAGTTTCTAGATCCTAAGGTTTGGTCCAACCTAACAAAAACTGGAGTTGCTTGGAAGGCAATCCAAGTTTCATTTTCATTGTTGATTCTTTTGTTATTTGTTTTATTTATTTGGTTAGAACAAGTTTACCTTGATCTTGTTTTGTGTGTTTTATTTTGTTTTAGGAATAAAGATAGAGAAAGGATGAATAATAAAGTCCAAACCATTCAGCATCAAGAAACAAAGATCAAGGAGTTTTCCTTAACCCCAAATTCTTAATTGTTTTAATTGAAATGCTACGCAATTCAAGTGTTGGGGCAGAAGATTTTTGTGCTAAAAGTATTTGCCAAAATTTTTCAAAAAGATTACCTTAAAACCTTTGTTTCAAACCAAGTTGGTATGTTTTCAATCATCATGTTGCAATTGTAGTTGATTTTTCACAACTATTCATAAATGACTTATGTATGATCTTGAGACAAGGATAAACATAATGAAAACATGAAGTGAAATCATGAGTATGCTATTTGTGGAATTGTGAATTGTCATCTTCCTCTTTGACATGCATGAATCTTGGTGAAAAGTTATGTGACTATAAAATTGCATAAAGAATTAAGGCATATGTATACTTAAAAATTTACCTACTCACCCTTGAGGCAAAATCCTAGGCCATCATTGGACTGTTTAAACCTTTTTCAAGCCCACCTATTAATAAATCATCCTTAGTACTTTTACTTGGAACCTAATAAATAATTTTTCTTGTTTATTTACCCATATCAAATAAGCCTAAGCCTTTTTCTTATAAATTAGTTTTTTTTCTTACCCAACCCACATTACTTATGTATGTTAGCGATAAGAAAAAGAACAAGTCACATTAAAGAGATAGGGAAGTCATATTAGAGAGGTATGGAGAAGCAAGAAAGAAGAAGAAGAAGAAAAAAAAGCAAAAACAAAAGCCAAAAATGGCTAACCAAAATGAAAATGCCTCAAGCCTTGTAAAAGTTCTCAAGTCCAAGTTTGTGCAAGCAAAGGGTTTAAGCCTAAAATTTTCTATTTCCTACAAGGACCCAAGCCTTACATTACAAACTAATAAAGACCTATTGATTTTGGGTCAAGTCTGTAAGCTTGCATTAATGGAAAGGGTATAAGGAAAATGAACATATGTAGTATGCTTTAGTCCTTATTTAATATGTGATGGCATGGTTTACATAATTTTTTGCATAGATAACAAGGTTGGATTAGGGATAGTTTAATGTCACATGATTGAAAGTAGCAAGTACATATGATTAAGTTTTGTGTCTAACCATGTTCATAACTATCTTGATATTATACTATAATGTATAAGTGATAATTTGTGAAATTTTGATTGTGAGTGCATCTATGTGATTGTTGGCATTAATAACTTGATGATTTTTTTTTTTTTAGGACATGCAAAAAGATAAGTGTGAGAGTGTGATAACCTTAGGATTTATAGATATTTACATATCATTTGAGAGTTAAAATTTTGAAACTTTTCATGATTTTCCTCAATAATGAAGTAAATTGGTTATTTTTAGGCTTGGATGAAAAAATGGGGTACTTTGAACTTCAACACCAAGTTCCATGCAAACCATGCAAAGTTGGCAAAGTAAAGCCAAGCATGCAAAGATGTGATCCAAAGTTCACATGCAAGTCCAGCCCATCAAGAAGCCAAATCAAAAGCACTTGAAAATGCAAAAGATATTTGGCCATTTGCTAGAACGAATGTAAGGGTGATTTGTGTGATCTAACAAAATCCATGATTCATGCAAAATCAATGAGATATGACGTGTTAATGATGATTTGCTAAATCACACAAATAATGGATTTTAATAGTTGACCAAATGCTTTCTTGGATTGCAAATTATGGGCAACAATGGATTAAATGCAAATTATTGGATTTCCTTAAGAATCCCATGATTTATGCAAATCAAGGAAATTGGGTCTTGAATGCTTATTTGCTAATGGTTGATTGAAAACCTTTCTTGGATTGGGTGGCAAAGGTATTGAAGGGAAGAGCAAAATTGGGATCAATCATATTCATGGATAATCTTTTAATTAGTGGAATTGCAATTAATTACTTGCCAAAGACAATAGTGTCTAGAGTTATCCCCATTGGCTGAAACTCATACTATAAATAGGCCTTGTACTATTCTATAAAAGAGGACCTAATCCTTCCTACCCCATCCCATCTTCCATTATCGAAATCTTTTTTTTTCTTTCTTAGTTTAGTTTTCTTTTAGTTATTTTCTTTTTCATTTGGCTAAGGTGACAACTTAGCCTTTTCTTTTGTTCTCTTATTTTTTTATTTAATGTTAAGTTTCTATTACAATTATAACAACTCTCTTTTATTTGTTTAATGCATGCACATTATTTTTTTAAGTACTATCGTTCACTTTTTTCTAGTTTGTTCATTGGTCTAGTTTCAATTAAACTCTTTCAAAGGCAATCTATTTTATTTACTTTTTAAATTTTGCAAGCACTCTTATTTCTTTTCAAGCACATGCGACTATTCCCAATTTCCCTTCCTAAGCTTTTGGTTCATTAACTTCCAACTTTATTTCATTACAAATCTACTCTCTTTTAATTTTATTGCATTTAGCCAACATAGCTAAAAGGATTTCTACTTTTGTTTAGCTTGGTTCTCTCGGCCTTTACATTATTAAGTCTCATTTTTTTCTTTTCTTTATTTCAAGCATTTGGCCATCTAGATATAGAGTTGAAAGGCATAATTTCAATACTTAATCTAGCACTATTACATAGTCCTCGTGGGATCAATAACCCTACTCACACTTTGTTACTTAATGGTGACCTATGCACTTGCAACCTCATAAAAAAAAGCAATCACACTATCAAAAAATGAACACCTTTCAAGAAAAACCCAAAGAGAATAAATCTTTTCTTCTAAAGAGAAACCTTATTAAATGCCTCAGATATAACTAAACTTCCCTTTTTCAAAATGAAATTTTTAAAGTTCCCTAACTTATGTTTGTAAGACTCTTTTTCAAAATAAGATTTTTAAAATTTCTTAGCCTATCTTTATGAGAGCCTTTTCAACATGAGATTTTAAAGTTTCTTAGTCTATTTTTATAATAGCCTTTTTCAAAGCGAGATTTTTAAAGTTTTCTATATATGTTTGTAGGAGTCTTTTCCAAAACGAGATCTTTAAAGTTCTCTGCTTATGTTTATAGTAGCTTTTTCAAATTAAGATCTTTAAAAATCTTTGCCTATGTTTATAGAGTCTTTTTGAAAAGAAAAATTTTAAAGTTCCCTACTTATATTTATAGGAGCCTTTTCAAAAATTTTTTTTTTTAATTTCTTAGCCTTTAGTTTTCAAAAAAAAAAAAGAAGCAAGCAACAACCTCTTTCAATCCTAATTCCAAACAAAATTGATGACTTTAGTCATTGCATTATTTCTAATTCTTAAAAATATGCAAAAAAAGATAACTTTAGACATCTAATTTTATCCGGATAAAATTTGATCAATTGTGAAGCTTTTAGAATCCAATCGGTTCAAATTCAACATTTTTTTAATTTTAACAAGTTTTTAAGTTAAAATTTGGACCAATTTGATTACAATGTCCTAAGATCAAACTTGATCAAATCTGATCAAACAAAACTAAACTTGATCAAAATTGATCAAAATCGATCAAATCGAATAAAACTCGAGCCAATTTTCAAAAGTCATGACCATTTGGAATCAATATGGCTTAAAATTGAGATTTATAATTTTAAAGCGCTAAAAATCTTGATTGAATTCTAGAAGAGCAAAATTACCGAAATATACTTCAAAGATATTTTCATAATTTGACTTAGAAGTGAAATTTTCATGAAACTTTACAAGATCATGATTAAACATTATTTTATGATTTTTGATGCATTAAAAATCTTACTTCTTAGAAGGACTATGGTCACTTAGGCTCAAGAATTTTGAGGTAATAACAAGTTTATGATGATTTTAGATGTTTTAGGTCACACGCACTCTACATTGATGTATTTAACGAGTCTATAACCTGACTGACAGACTTGGGTAATCTTTGAAATTTCATTATCATGAGAATAGATCATTGCAATTATTGTTTTCAAAAAGAAATTCCTTATAAACACGAGTCATAAGCTCGCGTTGACTACATCCCTACCCTTTATACACCGCTTGTCGCTCTTACTAATTGAATAATCTGATGAAATATTTAGATTGTGGCGACATAAACGATTCGCTGCCAACGATGTAGCGAAAAGTCCATTGAGTCTTATCATTTAGAAGAAGTCTAACAAGATTTGCGCAAAGATCATTGTTGAAACCTACGTAGTGAATGACCTGTGAATGCATTAACAAAACACTAAAGGGGCAAGGATGCCTCCATGCCCCAAGTCCCTTCCAGCCCCCGGCATGCTATTAAAATCTGCTTGTATCCCTTGAAAGGGATATATACAGCCAAAAGGCAGCAAAAATTATTGACGCAATAAAGCCAAGAAAGAAGGTAAAGTATTAAATGATCATGTTGAAAGTAACGATTAAAGTTCGCATCATCTCCACCCTACCCTGAACCTTAAACCCTACTCTTTCCTGATGAGGTAATTCCTACCTAAACAAAATAACTAGACCTGCAAGCAACAACAGATTGTTGAGATCCTGATTCCTAAAACTGGAACAATAGATTACCTGCACAAATTGAAGGAAAAAAAAAAAAAAAAAAACCTTCACGAGCAACATCTGACAAATTTTCCAGTGAAAAAACAGTACATCCTACTGAGATTTCTACAGAACAAATTTCATAGATGTTTTTTGTAAACAAAACTCCCAATTAAAACAAAATTAGCAGTGTACCCCTTTTTTGATAACGCTATATGACATTCAAAGTTCAATTGCCATATATCACCATCTATGAGAGTGAAATATAAGTATACAGAGCTGAGATTTAATGTTCATAAATGAGTTAAAAATCAAATGCTGTCCACTGTTTTGACTGTAAGGTCAGATTGGGTCCTGGCAAATGCAACTGTGAACATAGCAGCATAGAATTGTTGACTGCTTGTGCTCTCTTCAGCATGGAGAACCTGTGTTCCAAGATACTGTAGCAACCATTTTAATAGACTTCAAGTAGGATGATTTCAAAATTCTTGCTGTCCCAAATTTCACAGCAGAGCATAACCGAACAACATATGCCAGGTCCAATATATTTAATTACATGAAGTAAGATCGAATGCAGTCTTCTAGACATTAATGTGTAACTATAATTTTACCAACCTTAGCATGAAGTTCATTCCCCGCTATGTAATCCTGGTGGTGGAAGGGTAGAACCTCATGAGGAAACTTGAGAGTGACCAAATGCAGATAACCCCAAGGCACTGTAGGACATTTAAAAGTGTTCCCAAAGAGCTGTTTATTGCCAAGTTGTGTGTAGTCATTTCAGCACCTTTCACTGTGAATGACAGGGCTGTTACTAATTGTGCAGCTCTATTCAATTGATGCAATCTGTAAACCTGTTAAAGCATAAAGAATATATTTATTTCAATTTGTAAGAGAAGTCAGTTAAGAAGAATAACATCCAAAACATATAAAAGATAAGGACAAACATGTTGAGATGAACTATATGTTCTATAACACAAGATTAACTAAAGCAAATGTGAAGATAAAAAAGGAAAATGTGAAACACAATCTAATACAACTATAAAAACTTATTGCTCCTCTCCTATTAACAATGATGCTCCAAGAAAGAGGGGTCATAAAATAAAGTCAGAACTGCCCTTACTTGAAAGATTATTGGGATGACAGGCCATGAAGGTGACGTCAGATATCTCGCATACTGTTCGAAGGCAAACTGGACAACTATACCAACCAGGTAAGGAGCCAGAGTAGCAGATGCTGCAGGACCAGTCCAGGGCCAGACTAAACCCATTGTTACCATGGGAATTATAAGACTAAGTACAAGGGTAGCAACAGAAGAGATCCGTTGACCCAAGTGAGAAGGCAAGGTTTCTGTTGCAGAATCTAGTCCAATAGGCCTCCTTAGACGATCAATTAGCAGAAGAAATATGGCAACACCACAATAGAAAAGTGCTTCTGTGAAGAACAATATGAGAAAATCTGTAGGAGAGAAGACCAGGCTATTTAGATAAGGATCAAATTTATCTCCGTACAACAGCAATACAAGGAGAGCCAGTAATCAAGTTTAGCATATCATAGATATTAAGTCTAGAAAATGCCATAGCATCAAGTTTAATAATTCAGTGTGTACTCTCTTCCGAATACATCATTTGCTATTTTCTTAAGATTTTGTTAATTGTAAATATTTTTTGCTTCATCCATGATTTGTCAGATGTCTGCTTAATATATCAATGTTGTGCTAAAATTGGCAGACTAATTGCTGTTGGACAACAAGAGGGCAACTGTAGCCACCAAGTTCCAAACAACTCCATTGATCTCAACAAACTATCAGTGTCCTTAAAAGGTTAATATGAGTGGTTGCTCTTCACCATTTACATTTCTCCTAATTTTCTCAGGTTGTGATTACATTTCATAACACAAAGATACACCTAGAAGGAAAGAGGGCAAGGGGAGAGGGAATCAAAATAACAAGAAAATCAGCCCCCCATCCCCTGGATAACCTTGGTGACTTTTCTTACCCTTGTTTCATTTAACTCCATGTTTCATTTGGTTCACTTGGTTGCTTAGAATCAAGTGTAAGTCCAGAGCAAAAGAAGAAGGGTAAAAATGAAAGATGAAATCTGAATACATGAAATCTCACTCACCTGTTAGTAAGGAGTCCTCAAATATGGTTGAAAGCATTCTACGTAAATAAAGTGAGGGGAAAATGAAAGAGGCCACAAGGACAGCAGGACCAACAAACCATAGTAAGCTGCTCTGATTCCTATGCACATTAGAAACGACTGCATCGTCTCTTTTGTATGTGCGATTGTAAAATGAAATAAAACCTGATCTTCCATCAGTTCCCTCAAAACCAATAGATGATAAGCCAACTGGAGAGATATCTTCAGGACCAGGATGGTCAGTTAACAGTTCTGAATCATCAGGTTTGATCTCAATGTATTGAGATTGGTCTTTGAAAGTAGCAAAAAGTACATTTTGTCTCCTTAGAAACCCCTTCAACTTTAGCACTACAGGTAAGAAGTGGCATAAATTAAAATCTCATCACACCAGTCAAATTTAAAAATCATTACTAATATGACCCGATTACATTGCTCTTCTAAAATTTAGTATGGAGAATAATCTGAAACTGTAGCTATAGTCAACTAAATTTTAGGGGCCGAATATATTCAGATTTAGGCCAGTTACACCTTAAAACAAAGTGCTTCAAGGGTATCAGGAATGTTTACATTCCAGATCTTGAAACAAAATTTTAGAGATTCATATGTCATGAAACAAGTTACAGAAGCTACCTTTAGCATTTCTAAGCTGCTCAGTCCTTGCTCGCTGTTCATTATATGGTCTTCTAAATAAGCTCGGCTGGATAGCAAAACATGAGATATTAAAAGAGGAAACAACAATGGGGCTCCTTTAACTAAGAGAAACCTTTGAACAAATTTTGGATAAGCCAAAGATGGAATTGCAGGATGTCAATGTAACAAATTACTTGAAAAACATATATGAACTACTTTCAATACGAAGTCTCTGACAGAAAATGCTAGAAAACATTGTGCAAATCATAGTAAAAAATTAGTATTCACAAAGCTTAAGTCTAGGCTAAAAATATTCCAAGGCAATTTTAGAGATTATACTCATCAATTAAAAATTTCCATTTATTTTTCCCTTTTGTAACATTGAAAAGACGCTGGGGCAAGAAAATCCCAGACTAGTTGCAGACTTTCCAGGTCAGAATATCAACTAAAATGCAACACACACTATCAATCACACATATCTCTTAAAATTTCTAACTCACTAAATGCTTGGCTATATTCACATTGTTCCATATGTACCTGGGGCTTGCACTTCTGGTCAATAATAAAAACAGATTTAACAATCCCTTGAAGGGGTACAAAAACACCATATTAACCCCTCGAAGCCTGTTAATGTTACTGCATCATTAGCTTACAACCAAAAGAACATTAGAATTAAGTGAATCAATTATTTTTCATCCTTATTGCCAACTCCTGACATAAAAATCCCATTAGAAGCAAGGCGCTCAAAAAGCTTTGATCATCTAATGTCTAATGCTGATAAATATCAGTAGAAGAATGATCAGACACCATATATGTACACTACTTTAAAAAAATCAGAGTAACCCACCAATAAGGACAACCATTAGCTAATGGTCATACCATAGTTTACCCTCTACCTACTCTCGTTGACATGATCAAACAATGTCATAATTTGATTAAGGAATAAAAAGATAAAAAGCAAAGCCATTTTTCTTGGGTAAACAAAGAGAAGAAATAACATACCCGGGAATGAAAAGGAGAAGAAAGTGAAGAAGCGATGTAAGAAAAAGGAGCAGAACCTGAAGCACACCTAAAAGCCATAAACAAATATGTATATGTATTGTAGAGGGAATAAGTTAAGAGGAAGAGCAGAGAGGCTATGAGGGATTCAAGCAGCGCATGTTGGTAGGGAATACTCAAATGAATTTAACAAGATCCATACCACAGTATTTATTCAGAAAGAGAGGAATTCGGAGAAACTTAGGTAATGGGATTTTTTTATTTTTTATTTTTTAGAACGTCGAGGAGGCATCAGTGAGGAGAGCTAGGGAAGAGAAAGAGAGCTACTCCGCTGTTTGCTTTGTTTTCTAATTTTCTTTTTTTATTCATACCTGGATAATGTTAAGCATGCTTAGTGGCTAAAGCAAAATATTGAATATGATATTTTAATTTTATAAATTTTAATTTTATTAAAAATTTATTAATTAACATAATATTTTAAATATTTCTTATCGAATACATATTATTATTTAAATTTAATCATATTAAATATAAAAATTATTTTAATTAATAAATATATATAATTCATATGTCAGATTAAAAATTTTTAAATTCAATTATTATACTAAATCTGAAATTAACTCAGATTTTTATGTCTATCTATATTTATTTGTTTGGACTTTAAGAACACAACAGTCACGGTAACCGGGGGTTCAACTTTGGACGATCCTATTACATGGAACTCTCACCCTCTCACTTAGCCAGATTTTTTTGGCTTTCGGTGTTTTCTTTTTCATTTTTACTCATTTATTCTAGTAGGATATTCAGTAAGTCTCTAAGTCTCTTCGAGAATATCCAGTTTTTCACCGTTTTCCGTGAAAGAAAAGTTTGAAATGAATCTCAGAAAATGTTCTTTAACCTTCCTCACAAGCAAAAATGTTGTATCGGTGCAAAACTGACATGATAAGGATTGAAAGATTTTGATATAAATTATTCAGGAGAAAATGGATACGAAGTTGGAACAAGTACTGAACCCCCAAGTAAACAATCTTGTAGTACATACCGGAGAAGGAAAAAAGAAACAAAAGTAAAAGAACAGCTTTGAGCATGAATAAAATTCATTACGTTACAAGAATTACATAAATCTGACACTCAGTTTCAATCCTTTTTTAACTCCAAATATCAAGAATCTTCCCGGTCCAAAATGGGGTTTGCTACCTATTTTCCAAAACTTCCAAACTTCCAAACTCTAAATCCACTCCTCTAGTCCCTCACCTAAAGACTTTCCTCGGATCAGAATCTCCAAATCTAAATGAAATTAGCCCTCTTTAGGAACCTGATGGTTCTGCAATAATATGGCCACATTGATTCCACAAAGTCCAAGTACTTTTCTATCATCCTCTCTTGGAAATCTTTCATTTTTGTTTGACATAGCTCCATGTATTCCAACTTCTTCATGCCCACCACAGGTTGCCACACACGAGCTCGGGCATCTTCCTTGAGCTTTCCACGTGCAATATAATTAGATGCCAAGAGGTAATAAATAGGTAAGTTCCTAATTTTTTGAACCGTCTGCTTGAAGCAGAAAACATAGAGCCTGCACAAGCGTCCAAGCATCGTGACGTAAATAGCAACAATCAAGGGACCAAACACCCATAGAGGAGTCAACTCCTTTGAAACTTCAGCCCCGCGTATCAAACTGACAGCCAGGTAACATGGAATACTGCACATACAGCAGAGCAATCGTCGGCAATGTCCACGGATATACAAAGCATTTTCATCCATAGATCATCAAATAAATTACTATTCATGTTATTATGAAATGGCATTCAAAGTAAGACTAAGGCATAGGAAAAGTCAAATAATTGACAAATCAACTGAAAAGAAAATATTAATGATGGTAAGGATTCAAAACTGTGATTTTGATCAACATAACAGATGATATCAATAAGCAATGAGCCATTGCCAATCATCCAGAGGCTAGAAAGAGGAGCACTCATATTGGATGACATGAACAAAATCAGAACCATGAAACCAGCTAACTTAGCAATAGTTAATCAGAGGAACACCAAAAGTCATTAAATCAAGAAAAGAATTAAATTGCTCTCATTCTTTGCTCTTTTTAGAAAGACACAGGATGCAGCTATTTGATATCACAAATATAAACATATATATATAATAAATCATGCAGATTGCAAGGAATAACTCCAAGGGGAGACACATAGAGGGATTATGCTGGGCATGAACAACTATACATACAATATTAATAACGGTATTTTGATTGTTGCATCCATGTCCCAGAAATGGCTCCAAACCTTCTTTAGAATATCACTTTTTCTATTGCTTTGGGTGCCAATTTGTGTTTCTGATGCATCCCTTGGAGGTGGTCTTTCGCCCAGAGCTTCATCCATCACTTGACTTGGGGATTGTGAGCGCAATATCATTATCCATTTCTTGAATAATTTCTGAATAGCAGGGCATCCCACAACGTTCTCACTTGTTTCCAATGCATAGAAAAGCAGACCATTATGAGCCTTTGAAGATTCTATCATGGTCTCTTCACCATCTTTTGCCACATACGAAACTTTAATGGAATTCTTGGGAACACTCGCATCATTTGCTCTGTCTAGTGATTCATCATTCTGAGGACTGCCTTTAAAGGCTGAAATTCTAATATTTTTCGCTTTCAATCCACAAGTATGAGGAGCCCCTACACTGCAAAAATAAGCCATCTGAATTTATAAGTTCAAGATGCAAACAATGAAAAAAGAAATATTTGAATAAAACAAAAGGAAAATAGGAGTGCAAAAGATAAAAAAATAAATAACAATTATGGAAAGTAGAAAAGAAAATGATTTCGCATCCTGTTCAAATGAAAAAGCTATTTCCCTTCACCCTTATTCCACAGCAATGATGAATGCATAAAAATGTTAAATGATTACCAATTCATTTGGTTTCACAACCAAAAATTATTTATTTGGCAAAAATAATAATAGAATAGCACCCACAAGCATTTCCATATAAAGATCAAATACAACATTTGGGCCTGCCCTATTGGCACATCAAGCAAAAATATTCATTCCCATCTTCACATGTAAAGGAAAACAAATAAGAATCATGAGGCAAGAATTGTTTTCCAAGGAGAAGACATCAATATCAAAAAGACATGATTGGCATACACTTGTATTTATAGAGAATAGGTCAATTAAGCTCACCGCACCTCCAGTTGAATTCAAATGTCAACTCCAGTGAGGTAAAGTCAACATAAATTTCTCATTAAATATTTTTTTTCAATTGCAGCTATAGTAACTTTTTCTTTTTTTTTAAATCGCAGCTACAGTAAATTTTATTACTATTTTCAATCTCACCACAACCAATCTCACAGCCCATCCAAATGGAGCCTAAGTATCATTGCACCGATCGGGCAAAGTTTTCCACCAATCATCATGAACACCTCAGTAATCAGAGGCAAGAAACAATTTCTTCACAATCACAAACTTACACCACATCAGCCCAAAATTATCTCAATCAAGTTTTACACACCGCACGCATGAGTTATTACTATTCAGTATTTTCAACATCCTTGATGTTTAACTTAACCACTTTGTTCACAGCAATTATAAAATAACCAAAGGAATGAGATTTCTCCCTAAAAGATTCACAATAAACAAGGTTATTATATTCCTCTCGCCCCCCCCCCCCCCCCCCCTTTTGTTTCTGGAAGAAAATTAGAGAGACAGAGAGAGAGAGAGAGAGAAGAGGCCTCTTTTCCTATTTCAGTTAAAAACTAATCAGCATATTTTCTTTATACAGACACTTGTTAGCAATCAGTCGATTCCCTCCTCCTTTCATTCAATTGTACCATCACTTCTAAATTTTTAGCTTACAATAAAACTGGAAAAAAAAAAAAAAGAATTGACAAATTGGGGGAAGAAAAAAAAGGTGGTAAGAATAAGCATTATTGATTTTTTCTTCCTGATATAAAATTCAATATGCTAAATTAAAAGCACTAGTCCTTTCAAGATCAGCACTTCAAAATATACCCTGAAAGTTTATCAAACCAAGCAGGATACTAAGAGACAAGCTGCCAACAAGGAATCCAGTAATTGATTGCTTAATAATAAGGGAGATGTTGGTTAGCATAAACAAACAGAGTGCCTTAATGATATGCCCCTCTCTCTTCTCCCAAGCATATGAAGTGTAACTACATGTCATCTTAGTTCCAATCCTTTCCTCCATGATAAAGGCTTTGAAGCAAATGCTACATATGAATCCTGGAATGTAAAAAAAAAATGGCCTTGAAGGAATGCTACATATGAACCTTTGAAATGCAATAAAAATGACCAACACACTTGCAAACTTTCAGATAAATACCAAAAGAAAGCTGAGATCTATATATTAGTATATGAAAAAAAATGAGACTCTTCCTCAATAAAAGTAAAATCATCAAAGCAGTATGTATGAGAGCTTCCAGAACGGAATTTTAACATCTCATAGGATTGAACTAAAAGTGCACAAAAGGAATGTGTCCAGGAAGCCAGGTGGGAACATTTTAACTTGCCCATCGAAAACTTGGTTTCTATAGAACTTTATTTCAATGTCCATGCACTCTTAGTGTACCAGTTTTAGTCAAAAGATTTCTTAGAATACCTGCATTTGATGGGTCACCAACTCCATTGTCTCAACCTCCACCTTATGCGCTCGAACATTTATTCAAGAAGACCTAAACAAAAGAAATGAACACATAATGTTCCGTAGCATCAAAAGAGATTGAAAGTTTTCAACGACCATGTAAACAGGAAACTCTTACAAACATTGATATGAAAGAGAGCACAATCAAAACCTAAAAAGGGACCCTAAGCGAAAACTAGACAGAACAATAGATATTTATACTAAAATAAAACGAACAAGAAATGCAAGACCAAAATTGATGCTCAGTTGAGTTGCTGAAAATCAAAGAGAATTCCATTAACTTCAATTTTCTTTTCAGAAGAAGAAGAAGAAGAAGAAGAAAAGCGGGATTGAAATTTTGTATTATTTCAAATTCTCAGCACAAATTAACATTTCTTCTCTACTTTCTCAGCATCCACGTGGATTAAGTAAAGTCCTTGTTATTCAAGGAAATTAAAGTAGAAAAAGAACTCAATTTCTTCTCTTTTTCCTTTTTTTTTTTTTCGGTTCTCTAATTTCTGCAAATACACATTAAGAAAGTAAAACCCTAAAAGTATTAAAAATCAAACACAAAAAAAAAAAAAGCAGAAAATAAGATAAGTGAATAACCTTAGAGAGGAATTTAAAACTTCAGCTCCTCTCTTCACAAACCAACTTCGAAAAGAAAATTACTTTCTTTTTCTTTTTTGTTTTTCTTTTGAGTGGGAAGGATTAAATGATAAAGATAATGATAGTAATAGGAACTAAAAAGAAATGATTTTGCTCTTCAATGTTATTGAAATATTTTGGATATATGATACAATTACGAGAAGCGTAGCTCCTTCTACATGGGAAGACCCCTTTTTTACCTTTTTTACCTTTTTTCTTTCTTTCTTTTATATGGGAAGACCCTTGTTTACCTTTTTTTTTCCTTTCTTTTATATGGGAAGGCCACTTTTTTACCTTTTTTTTTTACTTTCCTTTAATTTCAAATTAAAAAAAAATGAAAAAGAATAGCAGTTGAGTTTAGACCACAAAAACTACACGGTAAACATCGTAAAAGGTAAAACAACGCCGGCCGTTCAAAATTTCACAATTTTTAAAAAAAGAAAAAAGAAAAGGAAAAAAAATACTGAATTTGGGCTTGACTTGATTTAATCTACTTTTAGGGCCAAGAATCTCTTGAAATTGGGCTTTTCATTTTTTTTTCTTTCAGTAGTATTAGAAATTTTAATTTCTCTTCTTTCAAAACAAAATTGTTTTGTTGATAAAAATATTTATGTATAAATTAAAAAAAATCGTAGGTTAGATAAGGATATAGGTTGTAAGTATTCAAATTTAAACTATAAATTTACTAAATGTTATTTTTTAAAATGATTATATAAATCAATTGGGTTAAATTTTAAATTCATATTTATATACATTTTATGCATGTCTTTATATATCTAATAAAATATGACTAAGATTTAAATAAATTCTAAAATTTTACTCATTTTATCTTTTATTAAAAAAAATTAAAATTGTAAATTTTTATTTCTTTTAAATCTTGAAATGCGTTGATAAAATTAAAATATTATAATTTTTTTTATATTTGAGGTTGCTTAAGGTTTGATTTTGGTTAATAGAACTAAAAGTTCAAACATTCATCATTCTATCAACGTAGATATTAATCAAATCCTAGAATTTTTAAATTAGCTTTTCCTTAGATATTCTTATTCAACTCATTCAAACAAATCTAAGTAAATATTTTCTATAAATTACATTACATAACTAAGAATATTTTAACAAAAAATTAAATATTTTATAACATCAATATTCTGATTACCATAAAATAAAGAGTAAATAATGTCTATGAGAATTTTAGTCAAATATCTTTTTTATCCGTATGCTTCTAAACGTCGCTCCTTAAACTTCTAACATTTTGGTCTTTTGTTCACTTTAACATCAATTTAGATTGTGAAACATATAACGCAATTGATACATACAGATCTGATGACATGTATATGTAGGCACTTAATTTTGTTTGGACAAAGTCTAACTAGTTGAGAAACTTTTAAAATCCAATCCAATTCAAATATAACATTCTTTTAATTTTGATAAGTTTTTAAAATATAATTTATGTCAAATTTCACCCAAATGCCCTAATATCAAACTTGGTCCAACGTGGTCAAATAAACTCAAACTTGGTCAAAGTTAGTCAAACTAGGTCGAACTCGAGCCAATCTTCAAAATTAACAACTAATAGGATTAATAAGGCTTAAGGTTGAAACTTGTGATTTTTTAATGCACTGAAAAACCTTGATTACATTTCGAGAAAGATAAAATTATCGAAATGCCTTTTAAAGGTATTTTTGTAATTTGATTTTTTCGAAGTTGATTTTTCATGAAAATTTTCAAATTATGATTAAATATTATTTTATAATTTTTTATGCATTAAAAACCTTGATTGTGTCTCAGAATGTGTAAAATTACTAAAACACATTTTACAAGTATTTTTGTAATTTGACTTTTTTTAGGTCAATTTTTCGTGAAAAAGCTCTAGATCACAATTTAACATTATTCTACAATTTTTTTGAGCATTAAGACCTTGATCATACTTCAAAAAGTGTGAAATTACAAAATATCTTTTAGAGGTATTTTTGTAATTTAACATTCTTGAGGTTGATTTTTCGCCAAACCCTCCAAATCATGTTGTGAAATTATTTTATGATTTTGGTGCATTAACAACTTTGATCACACTATGGAAAGTACGAAATTACCAAATACCCTTTAGAGATTTTTTTTCGTAATTTCACCTTTTTAAAATTAGTTTTCCACAAAAACTCCTGATTATGATTTAGTATTATTTTATGACTTTTGGTACATTAAAATCACTAAAACAAAGAAGAGATCATAGGTTTCCAAAAAGATCACACAAAAAGGTCAAAATTTTAAAAAAGAGAAAATAATATTTTCACACTATCACAACTACACCAAAGGCTACATTTTGTATTGAATTCATCATGAACCTTTAATCTTTCAAAAGGCTAAATCTAATAGTGAAAGATGTTTGCTTGGTAAATAAATTTATATAAGTGTTAGTAACCCTTGGGTGCAAAATTGATCAAAGGCTAACATGCATTTGCATGGCTTTTATATTCATTATTTAGGGCTGGGAAAAAGATAGAAGAAGGTAGCCAAAGAAAGTGGCATGAAAAAAAAATTTTTTGAAGCTTTTGGGAGGTATAATCTTTATTCTATTTTTCATACATTTCCATACTCATTTTCCATACTTTTTTATATTAGTTTTCTTTTATTTTATGTTCTTTCAAGAAAAAATAACTTTTTCCATAATTGTTTGTCTTCATAACTCCAAGCTTGATCCAAAAATTCAACTAACTAAATAATAGTTTGGTTTGAAACAAAAGTGATCAAGGAAAAGAAAGAGTCCACCATTAAATACCTAAGGGGAGGTTCGACCAAGCCTCTATTCTTCCATGGTCGAACCTTTTAGGTCATTTCCTATGTTTTCCATGCTTTGAATAATGTATCTTGATGGTTTGGATCTTATATTATATGGTATTTGCATGCTTGTTGATTACTTTTGTAGTTTGCATGATATGTTTCGTAAGTATTTATATTTTTAATGCTTTCCCTTTAGGTAGTTTACTACATGTTTGATGAAAATACTTTAGTAATAAAATGCCATCATGAATGAGTTTTCTAAGTGTTTGATGCATGTTTTAACTAAATAAATGACAGCATGATTATGGCTTGGCTAAACTTTCCTTGCCCCCTCAAACCTTTAGTGTTTCATTTCTTTCGGTTAAGTTTTTGCATGCATGTTTAGTTTGTGATATGTTTGTAAATATGCCAAGTCTTGGTTTTCACATTCATCCCCATTTGTTGCTTTAAAGGTTGCATTTTTATCATTGATATCTTAGTTATTTTGTCACATGTATTGCCTATATAAAACCCTAAACCACTATGTATAACCTCTAAACCCCTATGCAAACCCCAAACCCTAAATCTAACCTTAAGCCCTAAGCCCTAAACTGAAACCCTAAAACCTAAGCTATAATCCTAAACCTTAAATCTTAACCTAAACCCTAAAACCTAACCTTGACCTTAAACCTCAAATCTAAACACCCAAACCCTAAACCCAAACCCTAAACCCTAACCTTAACTCCAAACAACTCCAAACCTAAAACTAAACCCTAAATCAAACCTATACCCTATACCCTAAACTCTAAACTAAATTCTAAACCAACCCCAAACCTTAAACTAAAGCAAACCAATCCCAAAACCTTTCAACTGAACCAATTCCCAAATTCTTAAGCCAAACCGAACCTAACTCTAAACCCTAAAACTAACCCTAGGCCTCTAGCCTAAGATAAACCCTAACTTGAACCAACCCTAAACCTTAACTAAATTAGAAAGCCAATCCCTCAAACCTCAAAAGCTAACCCTTAACCCTTTCATGCATTTGCATCTCATTTCACTTTATTGTTACATGCGTTATTGAATTGTCATGCGTTTACATTCTATCATTCATGTTTAATTATCATGCATACATTATATATACTTGTGTTCATGCATACCATTTACATGTTTTTACAAATAAGATCTTTTAAAGATGTATTTTAAAAGAAATAAAATAATACTCTAAGTAAATGTAACCACTGAGATCTAGCCAAACTATAGGGAAACTCTCAACGATTATCACTTTTGTGAAGATAATTAATTTTCGTGGGGCATTTTGAAAACTTAAAAGGTTAGATCATTTTAAAGCTCTGCCTAAATATAATGAGAGTAAATGAAGTATTTCGATACTTAGGATTTATCATCTTGTCCAAAAATAAATTATTTTCATTTTCAAAAAACATCAAAGCAATTTGCTTTCAAAAGAAAATTTTAAAAAGATTCAATTTTTGGAATAAACAAGTGTAAGAATGGAATTAATTTATAAACATTAAAATATGACCATTTTTACAAAAATTCAAGAATAACATGCAGTCAATTGGTACCTTTTTTTAACGAGTGCTATGGGGATGCTAATCTTTTCCCATTCATAACTAATTCTCGAACCCAATTTTGATTTTTCACAGACCAAAAATATTCTTTTAATAAACTTTAAACATGCTTTAAATTTTTTATTAAAATGATAAAATTTTGGGTCGCCAATCACACCATAAAATAGATTGGTGCCGACTCTTCAATTTTTATTTTTCTTGAAAATGTTTTTTACCCATTTTTCCCAAGGTCCAAGAACTTGTCTAGTGATTAGGCTCCCGAACCCACACATCGTGACAAGTTGGTGACGCCACTGGGGATATGGGTTTTAGAAAGTCAAGCCAAAGATTGATTGCAAGTTATCCTAAATTTTGGTTTAATGGCCCTAATAAGTGTTTAATCTTAATTCCTTAATTTTAATTTTCTTACTTTCCTAAAAAGTGAAAAAATTGAAGAGAGTCAAAAAGTTGAAAAAAATGAGAAAATGTTTTGACATTAATTTTCTTGTTTCCAAAAAGCATAAAATTCAAAACTTATGTGTGTATGTTTTACATTTCATGTATATTTTAATAATGTTATTTATTACAAATTGTTGTTATTTACTTTGTTTTTAATAATTGTGGGATATTTAGGATATGGATGTTTTAAGAAAATGTGAAAAGTTTGTATATTCCTTCATACACATTCACATTTACATTGTATGCATGAGCTCTAAACTCGGGCTCTAACTTTTTTTAAAAAAAACTAAAGTATACACTCTTGTGAGATGAATACTACCATAATGACTAGTAAAACACTCTTACTCAGATTGAATCATTTTTGTTTGTAACTTGTAATGGATAAGGATCAGGGTGCCTCATTAGTTTATGAAGGATGATGATGTGAAGAACAATTTG